GTCATGGCGGAGCATGGCAGGTGACGTTGGATGCAAATGTCGATCGTCGCGGACACTGGCGGCATCTCGCCCAAGCAGGCTAAGCACCCACGCCATGGGTCATGCGTGACATCATCGCCGCGCCCGGCCTCATCACCACTCGTCCGCGACTTCGTGCGCTCTGCTGTCAAGCTTTTCCAGCGCCTCATCCACCACACTGACGACGTGGGTCCTGTCTATACATTAATCGCGCCTTGGTCCCCTGCCACGGATCTGCTGCCGTCTCTTTTTTTTCCATTGCCGACTTCACTCCTACCTCGCCATTCTCTGGGTCGCGTGCTGCCTTGCCTCACACAACAACCGTCTTTTGCACACGCATTGAACACCGCCATCGTTCGCGCTGCACGCTGCCCCCTCCCCGCGCCCCTGGCCCCCCCCCTCCGAGATGCTGGGACTTTCGTACTGGGTCGTCCCCATCTTTTCCTCGGTAGTATGGATTGCCATGCTTGTCGCCATGCTGGTGTACTGGGCTGCCACTGGCAAACCACATTACTCGACAATGAGTCAAGGGCAAACCATCCCATACATTTCGGGTAAGCTATCCTCGTCGTCACTGGGGACGTGCACTAACGCACCCAAGATATCGGTGCCGACTACCTCAAGGCCATGTTCATTGCCATGTCGGCCGTCACTGTAGTAACCTTTGACCTCGCCTTTTTCTTCGAACGATGGTTGCGCCACACAAACAAGCTCCACCCAAACACGTCCAAGTGGCAGAAGCTCTACTCCGCATGTGCTACCATTACCGCCATCATTGGTGCTGCCGGCCTAATTCTCCTCACAATCTTCGACTGCAAGAACCACAACACCCTGCACAACATCTTCCTGTGCGTCTTCATTGGCGGATACATTATCAGTGCCATCTTCATCTGCTGGGAATATCAACGCCTGGGCATCCACTACCGCGAGCACTCGGTTCTGCGCATCTCCTTTTGGATCAAGCTCTTCTTCATCATCGTCGAAATCTGTCTGGTCATCGCTTTTGGTGTTTGCTCCAAGCAGCATGTGTGGAATGTTGCCGCTGTCCTCGAGTGGATTATTGCATACTTCTACTGCTTCTACGTTGCCAGTTTCTTCATCGACTTCCTTCCCGCCAAGCGCTCCAAGCACCATCAGTCCAAGGAAACGAAGATGCAGATGCTCGAAGAAGGTCCCCAGATGCAAGTACACATGGGCGATGGCGCAGCCGACAGTGAGCAATACTACCGCGGCAACCCTCAGATGACTGCACCGCCATCCAATGGCTATACAAATGGTTACACAAATGGCTACACAAACGGCAATGGCTACGCTAACACCCCTACTAATGGCTATGTCTCGCACACAGCCGACGGCTACCCCAAGCCCGCCGAGGACCCTACTCCGCTTCCTTCGAGGAACTTTTAACCCACCAACCCCTGTGTTTGTACTTGTTTTTGTTTGTTTTTGATTGTTTTTGATTTCTTGTATACACATATACCACCAGCGGCCTTTGTCTTGTTGCTTCTTCGCATCCGATGCATAATGACATGACGAAATTACAACCAAGCATGACGGGAGAATATACATCGGCGTCTATTCACATGTACGAGTACTAGAGTGTAGAAAATAGTGCCATTAGAACACTGTATAGTAGCATCAAATTCATCTTGATCCACCAATTGCTTGCATCAAGTTGGAAGAAGGGAAATAATAATAAAAAAAAGTGACTCCTTCACAACTAGCGCAGCTCACGAATGCACGATTCTCAACATAAGACATCAAATGCGATTGAATTCCAAACCCATGACAAACAGGGAGGGTATCATGATTTTTTCTTCTTCTTTTCTTTCATTTCCTCAACTCAAAAGGTATGTGTAATGCAGTCAGTCGTGCATGCACATGCACATGCAGCAAACTATCGACCCCCAAACTTTGTCAAACTCCGACACCCCGATGCATAACAGCCACAAAAAAGAAAGTTTATTTACTTTACCTTTTCTTTTTTTTCTTCCTGCTCTTCCAACATACAGTACACATTCTGTATGTAACGTAATGACTAACGACTCGGTACAAAAAAAGATCAACACATTTACTTGTAATACTTGTCATCTCTATGTTTCTTGTTTTTCCGCTCATACCGGTCACGAAGCTCATCATCTTCGTTATTATAATCATCATCACGATGGCGATAATCCCTTTCTCGTCTCCGTTTGCGGCGATCATCCGAGTCATGGCTGCGACTGCGGCTGCGGTTTCTCCGGTGGTCGGCGGCGCTGCTTTTCGGCTTGGAATCCCGACTGCGGCTACGGTAGCGATCGCGGTGGCTGCGCTTTTCTTTTGCGTCGTCTGGACTACGGCTGCGGTCTCTGCGCTTTTCGCGTCGGCGCTCGCTGTCGCGCCGCCCGTTGTTGCTATCGTGGTAGTGATCGTCTTTTTCGCGTCGGCGGTCCTTGTCTCGTCTCCGCTCCGGGTCGTGGTACGAGTCGGAGTCGTCGCGGTCGCGTCGGCGGTCGCGATCGTCGCGCTTTTCTCTCCGCCGTTCCCGCCTGCGCTCGTCCTCGCTGTTGTCTTCGTACTTGGTCTTTGTTTTCAGAGGCTTCTCCTCTTGGACGAGTTGCTGGTTCTCGAGCTTGGCCTTGAGCTCCTCCTCTGTGATCATCTCGCCCGTGTGTTTGTTTCGTAGCGTAACGGGATTGTAGCTCTGGGCCACCTTTTTGCCCTTGCCCTTGCCGTTACCGCCGCCCCATTCCCCAAGCTCAATGCCTACAGCTGCTTCCTCCTTTGCCCCGATGCCCAACAGTGCTGGTCGCCTCTTGATTTCCTTCGGTTTCGCAGCAGGCCCGTTTTTGCCAATGGCTTCGCCATCCTTCCAGCCCATGCCGCGGAGTAGCGCTGCACCAAATCCTTCAATCGGAGTTGCTTCGTATGCTTCGAGCGTCGGGGCTTCGGGCGCGTTGTCCAAATCGTTGCGGAGTGCCTCCTCCTCGGTCTGTACGGGTATTACGAGGTCGTTGTCCGTCGACTTGCCCGTGATCAAGGCGTCCAGGGCCTTCTTCTCCAGCCGTTCTTGTTCTGTGAGGTTGTCTTGCTCGACCTCCATTGGCTCTGGCGCCTCAGCCTCTGCAGCTCCGTCTTCCTGTATCTCGTCCTTTTGCACAACGGTGAGCCCAAACTTCATTTTGGGCTCTTCCATCTGCTTCTCGTCAACCGTCTCATTCTGCGCTTGTTGGTGTGGTGCTTTCGCAAGGTGTTTCCGCCGTGCTGCTGCGCGCCAGTCACGATTTGGGAGAACTGGGATGACACGAAGCTGTTCCTTTTCTTTCTTGCCGCCAGCATCGACCGCGCCACCCTCTGCTACATCCCATCCTGTGATTTCTTGCTGTTTGACCGAATCGTCTGGTTCATCATCGCCGAGTAGAGCCTTTGGTTTCTTGTTGTCTTTTTGCGCGGGAGATGCCTTGAGCCCTGGTTTCGCCTTCAACGCTCCCAGCGACATTTTAAAGCCGCCCGACTTAGGGGCGGCCATGATGCAATGCGGAGGCTGCGAGAGAGCGGTTGCGACACGTTTGGTATGCTTCGCGCTATCTGTAACGAAAGGGAGCACATGCGCGACTGCGTAATATCTAGGATGAGCAGGTGAGAGCGGCCGCGGCGGTGGAAACAAGGTTGTGTTTATGGTAGGGTTCAGAATGTTCACAGAAATGTTTAGGTCGCGCGATGATGTCGGTCTTGGCGCTAGGCTCAACCCTGCAGGCATCAACAACACGTGAACGTGGTGACACCTGCATCACTGAAAATAGTTACGCGTTGTCATTTGTCAGTCTCTTTTATGTTACATCCAAATATGATACACTAGTACATAGGAACTACTCTTCGCTTGGAAGAGGTGGGAAGAGCACGCCCTTGTGCGCTACGCCCAGGTCCACCAATGGGATTCCATAGTCCAGATCAGCACCAGGTTTGCAGTACTCCAGTGTTCTCTGATCAGGTTGTACGCCCAGTTGGTCGAGCAGCTCACTCGCTTTATTCGGCATATACGGCTGAAGGAGAATGCCCGTGATACGAAGTGCTTCAGATGCAAGATAGACAATCTTATCTACCTCCTCACCAGGCTCACCAGGAGCAAAGTTCAAAACTTTCCCCCACGGCTTCGACAGTTGGAAGAACTGGTTTGACTAGGTTGGGTCAGTATAGGGACAATGCAAAGACACGGGACAAACTCACTCCTCGTACGAAGTCGCAAATCAGGGCTGCCGCTTTGCGCGGATCGTAAGCGTTGAACGACGCATCCACTTCCGAGGCGATAGTGGCAAGAGAGTTGTTGTAAAACTTGGAGCCTGGACCTTCTTCCCACTCTTCTTTTGGCCTTCCGCCAATGCGCTCGATAGCGCCCCGTACGTTCCACTTCTTCCCTCTTGTCACACGGGAAGCGAGGTTGCCAACTTGCTGGTTCAGAAAGTTGGTGTACATGCTAACGATGCGGATGTTGTCATAGCTAGCATCATCTTGTATGCCACCTTCGCGAGCCATGTAGAAACGCATGACATCTGACCCAAATCGATTGAGAGCGTGAAATGGATCAACGACTCTGCCAGTCGACTTGGACATCTTCGAACCTCCAAGAGTCCAGTGCGCATGTGTGAGTATCTTCTTCGGCAGGGGGAGCCCAAGCGCCATGAGAAATGCTGGCCAGTATATGCAATGGAACCGGACAATGTCTTTTCCAATGACGTGACAATCAGCGGGCCAGCCTCCAGCTTTTTCATGGCCCGGAGTCCATGGGTAGCCTGCTTTTGTGGCGTAGTTCATGAGCGCGTCAAGCCATACGTAGATGGTCTGCGAATCGTCTCCAGGAACCCGAATTCCCCACGAGAGTCGATCATACGGCCGAGATATTGACAGATCCTCTAGGCCTGACTCGACAGATTCCACAACCTCTTTCATACGGTGCGCTGGGGTTATCCATTCAGGATTGCTCTTGAAGAACTCTAGCAGATGGTCGCGGAAGGCCGAAAGGCGAAAGTGATAGTTCTCTTCAGAGGACCACTCGACTTCGCTCCCCGTTTCAATTGAAGTCTAGATTCCAGTCAGTTAGCGCGACAACAGGCAACTAGTTAGATCCTACCATTATCTTTCGTCCTGTAGGCGGGTCAAGGTATAGCTTCACAGCAGACTGTGGGTAAAAGCATTCGTCTGTGACCGAATACCAGCCCTCGTGCTTTAGCTCGTATATGAGACCTTTTTCTTGCAACAGATACTGTCGACCATTAGCTGATGTCATACTCTACAATTATTCTGAGTTCGTACCCATGCATATTCCACAGCATTCTTGTGTTCCCGGTCCGTCGTTCGTACAAAATGGTCATTTGTGATCTCCGCTTTCTCCGCAAGTTCCTTGGAGGAGTAAGTATCGACGGTGGGGTTCGCTATGCGTTCATACGTACTTTGAAGATCTCGGCACCTTGATCGCAGAATAGCTTTGGATCAACACCTGCCTTTGCTGCTGCCCTTTGTACCTGTGAGATAATGAGCTTCTGCTATCCATATTCATGAGGCGGAACCACCTTCAAGCCGTGTTCATCTGTTCCTGTACACAAGATCGCCTTCTCTCCCTTGAGTACATGCCAGCGCTTGATAACGTCCGCAAGGACCATAGTATACAAATGGCCGACATGGGGGGCGGCATTGACATAGAATATAGGCGTGGTGATGTAGTAAGGCTTTTGGGTAGGTGTCTGGGTGGCAATGGACCGTCGGTTGCGGTTGCTACGAATTTGACACGTCGAGCAAACCCACGGTGGTCGCCTCAACAAACCGGAAAATACTCTCCGGAATGCCGGGGTTGTTGTGTTCGCAATTGGGATGTGCATGCTTCGGTTGTCTCATCTCTATTCGCGACAATTCTCGCGTGGACTTCCAGCACGACACTCTTTCGCGGTAGCGTGGCGCTAAATCGCTAGCGCGGCGCGAAACCGCGGAGACGCCTTTCTTCTATCTTGCTACTCCATGCTACATAAAATCCATGAAAATAAATCCTTGAACTTGCTTATTTCTATTTTCCTTTGTATGTACATGACTCATATTACCAGAGGGGGTGATAGGAATTTTCATTGTATGGCTGCGTAAGACTATGAATAAAGCTGCACGTGACGTGTACTTGTGGCTTCTAGCTGTGGTTACTCTAGTGACTCCCTTTGCATCTGAAAAAAAACTACTTTTCCTTCTCAGATTGTCCGAGATAGTTAGTCTGAGAAGTGTCTTAGACATATTTCCAGAAAAGAGATACATATATCATAAAACTATTAGGTAGTGGTTGATATAGCAAGATGGCCAAAATCCATCCATATCTAGTCTACATTCCAGGCTTCCGCCATCACAAGGCAGCAGTTTCGAAATATATAATAAATAATAGAACATCGAGTGTAGTCGGAGCAGCCAGAACGGCCAGGATAACAGCATAGTTGCTGAAGCTGCGCCCCTTTTCAGCACCGTAACGGGCTGTAGGGGCCGCGATTGCGTTGAGGAAATGAATGGCGAATATGCAATCAAATTCATGAGGCGCCCCAGGAAGCGCAAGAATCCGTTCACGCAGGGTGTTGCCCGTAGCGTTGGACTGCATCAGATTGACTTGCTGCTGAACAGAACCGCTTGGTTTATATATGACTTCGCGCTGGCGCAGTACCTTTGCGAATATAGCACCCTTTCTCCCCTACAATGTACAAACAGCTGTATTAAAAGAGCCGATTCTCTTGCAGTTCTGAGGAAGAGTATTTGAAACTTAGAGAGTGGAGTATGAAATAGTTGGGAGTATGTAAGGTTGCCGAGTGATGCTTTTTCGAGAGACGTGAGGAGGTTGCGGATATGAATGAGTTAATGGGGTGGGATTAGATATGTTGGAATCTTCACATTTTGTTTGATCGATCTATCATCAAGAACAGAATGCAGTGAAATGGGGACATGGCTAACTAGACGATTCTACTTGAAGCCGTGGCCGAAACAACACCTCTCTGGCCTCCATTCTATGCTTGCTTGCTTTCTATCAAGCCCGTGACTCAAAGCCAGTACTATATCAATCTACGAGTAACATCTCCATTGAATATTGGAGCTACAACCCCATTGCCTGTGCGTAAACGTTCAGCCTGCTCCGCAAAAAACTTTTCTGCCCTGTCCTTGGCTTCTTGGTCGAGAGGTCCGTACGTTGTGACCGTGACATACTGTTCTAAATCATCCCCAGCCAACCTATTCGTGATCATCCTGGCGCAATGTGCATCATGCTCAAAAAGTTCCTTTTTATCCATTGTGATGATTGTGCCATCGAAATGACTCAATGCATTCCGTCGCCATACAAAGAGGCAGTGAAGCGTGTGTTGTCTTCCAGTTTGCCACACTCTTAACCCTGGTCGAACGCTTTCGAGCATCTCTGCAGATTCCATAGGTGTAAGAGTCCCATCACCTTGCACATCGACCTGGTAAATCCACGATCCGTTATTCCCGGGCCCGAGACGTGAGAATTCGTCATTCAATAGTGGATTTACACAATCTGGGCGAGTGAAGCGATTCTCAATATGATCATAGAGACAACCCCTAGAAAGAGCTTCAGCTTGTGTTCCACCGCATGTTCTGACACAATAGTTTGTGAGGTAATCTCGATCGTGAATCTTTAGCGGAAAGGCGAGGCGGAAAACACGCAGGCAAATATCAATGGCGCCCCACGAAGCAAGTATGGCAAAGATAACCATGACACCTATGTGCAGTACTCGCTTGCAACGTCTCGGTTTTCTGTCATGCAGCCAATCTTGCGCTTCACTCTTGGGATCATCGTGCGATTCTGATCCAGAGTCGGACATAACTCCTTGAGATAAACCACTATCTGCACTTCCTTGTGTTGAAGACAAGTGTTCATATAGTGGTGTATTCCACCAGAGCCGCGTTGTGAACATTTTCCTATTTCCTCATTAGTGCGCGCCTAGACTCTTCTTTGTAGATCACTAGTAGCATACACGTGTACTTTGCAGTCCTAATACAGGAAAATCAATGTTCAAGGGGGTGAGGTGCGGCAATTCAGTAGCTCCAGTAGGCCTCTTGGTTTTTCAAAGATATCGTTAAGCCCGAGCATGACTGTGATGTTCTGGTCGGAGAGAGACTTAATGGGCCAGGGCCGAAGTCGTAAACATGCGGCATTAATACGGCCTTTACTGCTCAAATACGGACTTGGATTGAGTAAATTCTGGTCGTGACATGCAATGGACACGTCATGTGGGCTATTCTCAGCGCATTCAACGGGCCGTAGTACGATTAGAGTGGGACTTGATTTGAGCACGGCACGGGCTGTATTCCGGAGTTCGGATTAAAGCGCGGCGTGACTACAGCCATAATCATAAATGCGATGTTTGGAACGACTTCCAGAGTCACTGTGTATCTACGGAAGAGCTTGGTGTCTTTTTGTAAGAAGCTACTCCTTAGTTAGAAATACTTAGCTGGCCAATGCCCCTTCTCGCCACAGAAGGTCATACAACACCACCTTTTCACACAGCTGGAAAATCAAGATAAGGGCGGAAGAATGCAGCTCGCTATCTTATTAGATATCTTGGCTGTTCTACGCATTTCTTTGCATTTCGTCGTATTGTATATTTCAACTACGGTAATAGGCCGGCGGTCAAGTTTAAGTGTGTGGGGGGGAAAAGCTTAAGCTGAGTAGAGCATTCCCCACCAAACACGAGGCCCTTGGCGATACCTGCCATCTTTGAAGTAGACATACTCACATCCGCTTCGCTGGCAAGAACGTGGAAAACAACATCATCCCCCTATCCCACTGAGCCTCTAGATCCTACCGATAAACCGCCGTGTTTTTTGGCGGTGGCTGTACTACGGCCATATATTATTATTATTATTATTATTATTCTAGTTGAACGTCCGTTTTCAGCCCGAAGGGCTATATAAGACGTGTAGGGTTTTTTAGGCCTACAAGTATCTAAGTAGGTTGTTTCTAGCTACGATATTTAGGAGGGGTTTTAACTAGATGAAGGTGAGGCTCGTAGCCTATTGGTTGGTAGGTAGGGGGTAGGATAGGGTGGGGGAGGTGTATGGCTACCTGTTACAGGTATTACTCCTCGTTTTCTGTGTTTCCCTTGTACTAGGCTTGTGTTCTAGCCTTTATTTTTCAAATAAAGGTAATAGTTGCTTCTATACCCTCTTTTGTTTAAAAGAGGATAGGTAGTGATAGATCGCCTTCGCAGGCTTCTCTTAGTCCTTTCCTTTCCTCTCTATATAGATTACATCTAAATAGAATATGAGGTAGGTCTTGTATAGACCTATAGTTGCAGGGGCAACTATTAGAATCTACTTTCCCTCTCTTATATAGGTAGTCCCTTAGGTAACAGTGCCCTAGTTTAAGTTGGTAGAAAGCGCTAGAAATCTCTCTTCTAGTATTGCTAGGAATAGCGATTTGCTTTCTTATCTTCCACTTGTATTTTGCTGCGTACGTATGTGGATTCTTGCTAGTGGCTTTTTTCCTATACTATTCAAGTTAGCTTAGCCATTCTCTCTCTCCTAGCTGCTTAATTCGCGAGCTAGTAATAGCTAGGCTAGTTTTACTAGTAGAAGGAGGGTCTAGCTCAGTAGCTTCTTTAG